ATTTTGCCTCTGAGTCTATGTACTTATCTTTATAGTATTGTCACTGTCACTTTTTGTGATATTTCTACCCTAATATCTTGTGATTTTACAGGCAACTTTATTTCTACCTCAGGAGCTGTCACCTTTTTCTTTCAGATACATCTCAGGATGTCTGTGTCATTAGTTCTTAGAATTCTACGATGTCTCCCTCCTCCCACCCACAGTTTTAAAATAATACAGACTATAGTTGTCAGAGTTTTACAGTGCTCTGAAATAGTTATTATTCAGGATGGGGGAAAATCAAGATTTTAGTTATTTGAAGATGAATTGGTTTTCACGGCTTTGCTGTTCACTGGCTCCTGGTGGGACATTTGCGGCTTTGACCATGTCTCTTCAGGGGAACATGGGGAGTGGATAGGCTTTTTCTCAGACCGTTCTAGCCATGAAGCTTGATATTCTTTCTTCAATGTTGTGACCTCTTTGTGGGCGAGAATTTTCTTTCCTTAGTGTTTTCTGGCATATATGGATCTCAGTAAAGATTTCCTGAATAAATATGGTCAAGAAGAAGAGAGTCTGCCTTTCCTCTGGAATGCAGGGTAGGTGGTTCAGCTGGGGTAGCCAGGTGGCAGTGGTTTTTGTGCTAGCTGGGCAGTGTTTCTTTCATGGTGAGGAAAGTGTTTTCTTCTTCCAAATCAGAATCCTGTAACAATAAAAAAAAATAGTTAATTTAATTCAGTTTAGCTTCTTAATATCAACTGAGTGCCATGTACTTAGGTTGCTGTGTAATATGGATTCCTCACAGAATATTGTTTCCAAGGATCTACTTCTTCACTGTGGGACCTCTGGATAACAGTTGAGTTACTTTGAATGCAAATTCTGAAAACTTGTCCATAAAATTTATAAAAATTAACTTTAATATAAAATAAGCATCTGGGATACTTTCAAAAGTACATTTTTTCACGAAGTTTTAAGGTTATGGTTGGTTTATGACAAGTAAATTTTTAAAGCGAGACTACCTCTGGAGATTCTGTTTTAGGAGAGATGAGACTCTTATAGTTTAGCAAGGTTCAAAGATCACTGAACTTAAAGTCAAGTATTGGGTACACTACTGACCTTGGCTGGGTAGCCTTGGATAAGCCATTGACCTCTAGATACTATTTTCTATTCTGTAAAATGGAGATAGTGTCTTTCATGGTTGTAATAACATATATAGAAATATCTAGCATAAAACCTAGAATAATGTAGGAGCTCTGTTAATTCTAGCTCTGTCTCTGAAAATAAGTGGATAAAGTACATTTTAATTAAGCTAGTTTTATTTAGAAACCTTTAATAAGAGTGATTGCACTGTAATTACAGTTCAAGATTCCCAGTACTCTATAGAAAAACAAGTCACAGAAAGTAGCAAGACTTTGTTTCAAGGGAGGTATGGTTAAGGTTGAGAACGTTTTCATGTCAGGAATTTTCCATTTAGGAAACTTATTAGCTATTTCTTTTTTTAATGTGTAGACTTGAAGTGGAGAGAAAGAGACATGAAGGTGTGAGAAGAAGCTTTAGTTTATTCTGACACTTCATTTTTGGTATGGCTTGTTGCCATTTCCATCTTTCACTGTGTAACATAGTCCCCAAAGGTTTTTGTTTGTTTTTTGATTTTTGTATGTGTGTGTTAGGGAGGAAGCTTTATTGAGATTTAATACATATACCATACAATTCACCCATTTAAAATATACAATTCAGAGGTTTTTAGCATATTCACAGGGCTATGCAACCACAGCAGTTTTAGAACATCTTCATCAACCCAAAAAGAAACCCTGAACCATTTAGCTGTCATTTTCCCTCACCTCCACGTTTTTTCCCCAACACTCCCACCTCTAAATGTCTTTGCCTGCTTTGTGGTGCTGTAACACAATACCTTGGTCTGGGTAGTTTATAAAGAACAGAAATGTATTTCTCACAGTTTTGGAGGCTGGAAAGTCTAAGATCAAAGCACCCGTGTCTGGTATCTGGTGGGGGTCGTCTTGCCTTGTCTTCACATGGTAGAAGAGAGAACCAGAGAGAATGGAAGTCCCTTTCACAAGCTCTTTTATTAGCGTTCTTAGTAAATTCATGAGAGCAGAGCACTCGTGACCTAAACACCTCCCAGTAGGCCCTACCTCCCAACACTGTTGCATTGGGGATTAAATTTTAACTCAGTTTTGGAGGGGACAGAAACATTCAAACCATAGCACTATCAACCACTAACCTGTTTTCTGTCTCTAAAAATTTGCCTACTGTAGACCTGTCATATAAACGGTATCTCATTGTGGCTTCCCAGCCATAGTGTAGCAAGTATTGCTACTTCATTTCTTTTTATTGTCCATTAATATTCCATTGTATGAGTATACCACATTTTATTTATTTATCTGTTAACCAGTTGATGGACTTTGGGTTGTTTGTACTTTTTAGCTTTTTTTTTTTTTGAGAC